TATATATTCACAAGAACTAGCGTATATGGGGCTCTTAAATGCATTTTACAGAATTTGATTATCTATTGTAGTTTTAGCGTAATCGGCGAAACAAACTGTGCGAGATACATTGACCGGCCCTTTATAATTAAGTTAAAATTCAAGTATGCTTAAAAAGCATTTAATATCATATTATATTTATTATCTAAAAAGTTAGATAAAAAACTTTATGTTGAATAGTTATCAAATAGTTACAATATACTGTACATATTTGTAAATAAGTGGACCAATAAATTTACTTGCTAGTAGGCTAGTTCTGATACAACAATATTCAAAATCATTCTTATATAGTGGTCAATATTTGATGTAACTAGCTGATATTACTTTATTTGTTAATAGGGTAGGAGGGAGCAGAAAGATTCTATTAACCATATTCTTCATAAATGAATTGTAGTTAAAAATATTTGTTTTTACATTGTGTGAACACTTTGTTAATGTTAATTGTATACGTTTTGCTGAAATGGGAATGTGCAGGTGTGTGCCGACCCATCGCTAACCGATCACGTACTAATTTACAAAGTATGCAACAAACGTCTGCATTGAATGGTTTGAATGGTTGCAAAATAGCCGTCAAAATCAAGTTATGTCCCGACGAGTGGACCGCAGATAACCATATGATTACCGCCGCCTTTAAACTCAAGAGGAATAATGTCTTACTATAAAAGTGATGTCAAAGAGATGTTCGTATATTTAAATTTTAAGTCACACAGTTTTAATCTAATAATATACTAATCTAATGATAATTTTTATAATTATTGAGATATTCAATACATTTAGGTACATTTCTACTAATATCCTTTTTAAAAATTTCATTAAAAGCAAAACACTTATTTAATAGTAATATTAGTAGTAATGTACTTAAATGTACTGAATATCTCAATTATAATAAAAACACTTATACGTGAGTGAAATTGTTTTAACTTTTGAGTACATTGTTTTAAATATGAAATAAATTTTATATAAATAAATGCATTGTTTAAATAGTTATAATACAATTTATAACGACATAAGTAATATAATAATAATGAAGCAAATATTATGTGAGTATTAAATGTAAAATTTTATACTGAAATATAATAAAATGTGAGATTGTTAAAATTAATTTATACTTTTATTGTTGCTTAAGTTTTTATAAATAGAATTTTAGTGTTTGGTTAATTTGAATATTTTTAAGTTGCTTTCAGTCTGAGTTATATTTATTGCTTGAAAGTTTACTGAAAATGACTTATTATACAATATCTATTTTTTTAAAATAAATAATTTAATTTTTAATAAATAATTTACACATTTTATAGATTTAATCTGGTTGTTTGTACTCAACCAAAATGTTGATACAATTACGTGCGAGTGTCCGGACCCGAGCGTAATACTACCCTATGGTTGTACGGGTTGTCAATACAATTATATAGAATGCTACGGAAACAATGATTTTGACCTGGCTGAAATGTTTAATAAATTAAGCTTAACCCTAGAACCGGAGCAAAAACATTTCCACCGTTTTAAATTCAACAACACTAAAGTGACTGAAATAAAGGCCAACACTTTTATGGATATTGTATTTGTGGAGATTTATATCAGCGATTCAAACCTAATTCACATCCACCCTGATGCATTTATGTATACCTACAACACTACGAACAAATTCTCAATTACAAATAACTCTCAATTGGAACCTGATACAATGTACGCTGTGATGAGCAAATTTGCCAACGCTACACGCATTGTGGAGATAAATAATGCCAAGTTCACCATGATGCCCGCAAACGCTTTCTCCAACATTGAACTGTCAATATTACAAGATTTATGGATCGATTCGTTTGAGACAACTATAGGCAGTCATGCAATCAGTAGTTTATATTCATTGCGAGAAATTATTTTTGGTTTTAAAGTCAACCATATTATGTCCAATGCATTCGCTATCGACAGACCCAGTAATGACTCCTTAGTTATTAATCTTAATGCTTGTTGGTTAAACGAAACCAGCTTTGAACCTGGTTCTCTTATCGGCATAAATCGACCCACAACTATTTGGATGCAAAGACAACATGGAAATATAGTTTATTTGCCTCAAAAAGTGTTTCACCCGTTTTATATGGAGAACGAGTTAAATACTATTGATTTAAGCATGAATAACGGTTTTGATTGTCAGGACTGTCGGTCCAGTTGGCTAAAAAATGGCGATTTGTTTAAACGTATTAATTTACCATGCTCTGATGGTAAACCATTTAATGATCCAACACATTTTAAAGAGTGTAACCAGTTGATTGAATACAATTAAAATTGTTTAGTTAGTTGATTGCTAATTATATTTCGAAAATTAAAACAATTATCACTTATTATGGTTATGCCATATAATTTTTAAATTAACAATAAATATTAAACCGTGATGATGACTTTTATCAAATATTTTATACTTAAGCAGATCTGCAAACTTTTGACTTTCTATGAGAGACTCAAAGTTTTGATAACTTAAAAATATCTTATCTAAAATATAATATATTACAGCATGTGTAATTATTCAGAAATGGGGTGCTTACACTGTACATATTTGTGAATGAGTTGGCTAATCCTTAGTAGGCTAGGTCTGGCGAAACAATATTTAAGATCATTCTTATATCATTAATATAGTGGTCGATATTTGATGTAACTAGCTGGCATTAATTAACATTATTTGTTTTTGTTAATAGGGAACAGAACGATTCTATAAACAAAATTTTTTATAAATGAATTATGGTTAAAAATATTAGTATTACATTGTGTTATTGCTTTTAGTTAATTGTTTGCATTAACTCTATATACGTTTTGCTTAACATTAATACGTCAACAATATATTGTATAAAATATTGTACTTTTGGTAAATGATATTACAATTTCCAATGGATTCACTGATTATAGAAATTGTTATCAAAAGGTTGTGTTGAAGTGTTTAGTGACACAACAATATAACGTGTATTTTTTTAATTAAATAATAGAAATATATTATTATTTATTTAACATATTTAAAAAATCAATTCATTTATTTAAAAGTGTTTGTATATTGAATGTTAAAATTGCATTATAAATAATTTATAATAATTGTAAATATGTGTGAAAAAGTTTTACAATTTGTGATAAAATTCAAAGAAATATCAGAAAAATATTACAAAATTACATGTTTTTGATGACTACTCTGATGGAGAAAATGTATTATTTGTAACAAACAATGATATGGTCTATGGTTTGGGTCATAATAGTTATGGATGTCTGAGTTTGGGAGTCCCATAAATAAATAAATAAACTTTATATTTTTAATTATTTATTCTCAATAAAAGTTACAATTGTATGAATAAATTTTAATCTTTTACAATAACAGTTAATTGTAAACATTTTATTCACAAGTAAAATCTTAACCAAAAGTTTATTAGCAAGATACCATAATATATGTTTACATATTCTCTAAATAATGGGTGCAATATTTAAAGTTGCCTGGTTCGTCAAATGGTATACGATTAGGGCATTCTATACCAAATGCCCTTTTATATAAACCAGTCTTTTTGAGCCAATAGGACCGACAGTCCTGACAATCGACACCCGGATTACCACTCAAGTCAATAGTGTTTAAATTGTTTTGCTCGAAAAATGGCCGAAAAACCTGCTCGCTTAAATATTTAAAACCAATATATTGCTGGCTTAAAATAATATTAGCCGGCCGATTTATACCACTAAAAGCACCATGATCAAAACTGGTCTCATTCATGTGAGTATACGGTAAGGAAATAGTAAGCGTTTCATTACTCGGTCTGTCGATAGCGAACGCGTTCGTCATTATATGGTTTATATCGAAATAGAAATACACATTTCGTAATGAATGTAAATCTCTGAACGCATGACTGCCTATAGTTTTTTCATTTGACCACAAATATAAAGTTTGTACTTTTGATTGATTATTGTTGGAAAATGCGTTTGCAGGTACCTTGGTGAATTTGGAATTATGACTCGCGAAAATGTACGTGGCGTTGGTAAATTTATCCATGACATCATACATTGTAGGCTCCAATAAAGTGTTATTCTCTATGGTCAATTTAGTCGTATAGTTATAGTTGGCCATAAATGCATCAGGGTGTATGCGAATCAGTTTAGTGTCCTTAATTTCAATTTGCTCGAATACAATGTCGTGGAATGTGTTGGCCTCGATTGTAGTCACCTTGGTGTTATTCAATGTAAAATGGTCAAATTGCTTTTGTTCCGGTTCTAGTGTTAGACTCAGTTTACTGAATATTGCCTTCAAATCAATATCAGTGTCGCCCTCGCAGTGTATGTAATTGTATTGGCAACCTGTGCATGGTACAATTACGCTCGGGTCCGTGCATTCGCTGCTGATTGGCCGCAAATGTCCAGCAATCAAAAGGATCCAGCTTAAATCTAGCAAGTGAATAAAGTTATAGTAATTATAATTAGGGATAATTATACTTAATTTATATATTGAAATAAAATATTATATAGCGTTTTACTCACATAATATTTGCTTCATTATTGTAATGTTCAATTAATTTATAATAAGATGTAGTATTACCAATATTAAACTTTTAATTAATTCATTGCATTCAATGTTTATTTATATATGTTGTATAAATATGCACTTTTTTATACCTAGAACAATATTTATCTCTAATTGTCGTACCTTTGTCTGGGGTTTAAAAATAGAAAATTGTAATAATATTGAACTTGTATAAAAGTTCGAAAATAAGTACGATGCTTATTACCTAATCATGTTTTGCACTAATTGTTCTTTATTATAAATCTTTAAAAAGTTGTAATCTAAATGACCGTGGTAAAAATTACAAAAATGCCGATTTATAAAGTAAAATAAAGTAAAGTATCCTTTTATTGGAATCCTTATCAACAATAGTTGGTTTTGCTAATAATCCAATTACATTATAACACTTGACAATTTATTAAAATCAATGTGTGTATATGAATAAATACAACCTTGTTAATCAAAAAAGTTCATCAGAAACTAGGGTACGTTTTTGATGAACTTATTTGATTTTCTAGAGCGTATTTATATATCATATTAATAGTGTACAATTATTACGCTGTTTTTTATTGATTTAAATTTTTGTCAATTGAGTTTATCACGGTCGTTTATTATTATATAAAGCAAAATAAAATTGATATATGGATTATAATTAAATTGTTTCAGAATTATTGATTGCGTGAAAATGCATATTTAGGCCAAAACCATTAAAAAGCATGAATTTACTCAAATATCATCACTAAATATAAATAAATTTCGAAAATTTAAAATCAATTGTATTTTTCGAGCAAATATTAATTTATAAAACAAATATCTGATTTCTATTAGGTAGTAGTGATACAGTATTAACAATTGTAGTGACAGCAATTATTACAATGTTTAAAAAGAAATAATAATAATAATAATAAAATTTTATTATTTTTTATTTTGTAATCTTTAAAGTAACATTAATGTAATGTAATTTATGCGAGATAATTTTATCTGGAAGTTTATAAAATAAATGTAATTATAAATATTAGTATAGTATCATTTATTTGATTTTTCAATAAAACTTTATAATGAATTACCGATTTGTATAAGAAATGTAAAAAATTTTAACAAATTTGTAAAATCAATTGACAAACATTTTGAATTAAAATTTGATGTAATTTTAAAGACATGTTCTTTTGATAATAAACTATTATTATTATTATCAATAAATATTAAAGCATATTAATACAGTATATTGTCAAATATTTATTTCAAACACTACAATTCAATGTACAAATTAATCATTCTAGTGTTATAAAGGTATTATTTAGTATAACTGCATAATCATGATAAAATTAATGCGATCGCTAAAAATTGTGCATGATCACAGTCAGAATTAATTTTTAAACATTTACTTTATTACAATAAAATTGTTTTTATAAACAAAATAAGTATTTAAGCGTAAAATCAAATAAAACTATTGCATACAAATACACTCACTATATTAGTTGTATTGAATATTTGTATGTTACTAAATAAGATATTAATATTGGGCATTCATTTTCTACGATAAATTAATTTACCAATTAATTAAAAATATTATCAGATTAAATCAAAAATTACAATGATCAAGTACATGATGATCACCATGGTAGTGGTAGCCATACTTTTCACGATGCTAATGGATGTGGCTATTGGCGGTTGTAGCTCTTAAATAATTTTTCTGTGACTGAGTACCAAACAAATAGAGATTCAGATTCACTATGATTCAAATATGATTGGCAAATTTGAAAATTCAACCTAGCTCATTTGTTGCCCTTGTAATTTATCAAACTATTTGATATTATATTTATATTTTTAATGTTAAATGTAAAGAATGATTGATTATTATTAATTAAAAATTGTTTTTATTTGAATTGCAAACCCAGAGTATGGACTACTCAGGAGAGACACATTGCCAGAAACTCAACATTTTTGTGTATGTTATATTCGAGTTAGGCTGTTTTGAAATTTTTATTAAACACATCCCATAATTTCCTTTGGGCACTTAAGGGGTAGTCCATGCCCTAACCGATATCACTGTGTTGACAACAGTTGCAGGCCTGTTATGAGCTAGGTATTTTTATTAAGTAATAAAATTACTATGTATTTGATATTATATTTATATTTTTAATGTTAAATGTAAAGAATGATTGATTATTATTAATTAAAAATTGTTTTTATTTGAATTGCAAACCCAGAGTATGGACTACTCAGGAGAGACACATTGCCAGAGAAGGAGAGCACCTGTAGTGTAGGGTATAGTTAGCTCACAAGTCGGAGTTATATATTTAATTATAAGTTTTCATTTTCCTTTGAGAATTTTATTATTAGTTTTATATAATTAGTTAATTGTTTAATAAATAGTTTGTACTATCTTTGTATTTGTCTGTCGCTCAGCATGAATACAATTTTATTGCATAAAATAAAGCGTTATCTTTGCTTTAAATCTATGTTTCCAATGGCTTTCCTGATTATAGCAATTGTAATTAAATGGTTGTATTGAAGTGTTTATCAACACAACAATTATAACATATATTTTTTCATTAAAACAAAGAAAATGTGATTTAATTAATTGTATTTTTGAAAAATTATTTATTTAATTATATTACCTTTTGTGGAGTGAATGATACAATTGTTAAAATTCAATTTGTACAAATAATAATAATATTTTAAAATAATTATTGCAAAAATGTCTGAATTATTAGATAAATTTACAATTTGTAATAAAATTCGTAAAAGTATTCAAAGAAATATTACAAAATTACATATTTTTAATAATTATCATTATAATGGTAATTATTTTATTGACAATAAGTATTCTAATGAAAATAATTATTCTATTGAAGAAAATGTATTATTTGTTACAAACGATGATATGGTCTATGGTTTGGGTAATAATAGAGATGGATGTCTGGGTTTGGGACACAACAGACCAATACTATCACCACAAGTAATATCACAATTATGTGGTCAAAACATACAATACTTTGTCAATGGAAAGGGTTTTGTGTTAGCAGTGAATGCTATAAATATTGTATATGGATTTGGGATTAATAATCAAGGACAATTGGCCCGGGGTGGTGCAAATAATGATGATGTTTATCTAAAACCAGAGATAATAAAATATTTTAATGATAAAAATATACTACAAATCAGTTGCGGTTCAAATCATACACTGG